TCAGACTTTCTTCTAATACGGCAACGTGCGAGGATGGAAATGCTAATAGAAATATATAATAGTAAAATCCATCACATAAGGTATCTCTCTAGATTTTAATTTGTATACAAGTATTGAAGGTATTTACAGAGCTCTACGTTGCATACCTTTCTGAGTCCGAAAAGAAAAGATGGTTAACTTCAATGTATATATCTCGGTGTGTGTGTGTGGGAGGTGGGGGTGGGGGGATCATGTTAACTTGCATTTTGATGTATGACACTTCAAATACAATTTTAGATCCTGTACACATGTTTTCAACCATTTCCGGTGTATCAGCCATTTCTGCTTACTGTGCTGACGTGGCTCTAAACATGAGCTGATGACAACATTGCTGTGACGTGTACAGTGATCGTCCATGACGATCAAAATCATACGGGAAAGAGGGTTGGACTTTTCAGACGATGGTAGAGAAGGTTTTCAAAAAGTGTCACGACACACATTTAAAAAAATGTTGGAATGGGAACTCTAACTGATATTTCACTTTTTACCACGTTTTCTTTAACTTGCTTTCGCGTCTGTTTTTCCAATCAAATCTTGCTATCCCAGTTAGCTAGCGCGCTGAAATTTTCAGGGAAGCTTTGTTTCCAATGACAATAGAATATTCAATTGTTATTATTACTAAATTGATCCATAGAAACATTTTATTGATCATTTTAGACCGCTATATATTTGTTTTAAAAAAACGTGGGGGAAAGGGGACATAACCCAGTAATTGTAATTTGATGAAAACAAGGTTCGGTACTCTCCCTCTTTTGGCTTACTAAGTAGTGTTCACGTGGTGTTTGTGTACAAACAACCGGAACTACTGGTGGCCAGTATGGGGGAGACGATATGGTCGAGTGGTGGGGCACACGATTGCTAACCCACTCGACACGGGTTCAAGGCACGTGTTTTTTACGAGTTGTCTTCGTTTACCAAAAAAAGTGAATGCGAAAAGATAAAATCGATAGCAAGATTTTAATGCAAACAAACAGACAAAGACTAAAAAGTAGAAAATATTATCATTAAAAAAGTTTTTAAAAAACCCACGTTTTCTGATTGAACTAAAAAGTAGAATATAAATGCTATACATCACAATAATGCAAGCGATCACTCTACTATAAGCGATGAAAAACGTGGGGCGCCGTGATTTTCTTACAGTTTCTAATACTGTTGACTCTCTACAAGCTCCCTAATAAAAGTCAATAGTATTATCTAATCAATAGTAATATAACTTTTACTTCGGCGCCCCACGTTTTTCATCGCTTATAGTAGAGTGATCGCTTGCATTATTGTGATGTATAGCATTTATTTTCTACTTTTTAGTTCAATCAGAAAACGTGGGTTTTTAAAAACTTTTTTAATGATAATTATTAAATCAATGTTGGTGAAAATTCTAATAGTAATTGATTAATTTACTTATTGTCCATCTGGCTCATTTAACATTTTAAAATAAATTCGGAAGGGGGAATTCATATTTAAAATTCGATTTCAGTGTTATTATAGCATGATTTTTGTATGAATTTCATAACGATTGTGTTTTAGTTGATTTTAATGTTTCAGTAACAAATTACTATCTTTAGAAAACCAAAATAATTTGCATTTTTTGCTCATAACCATACGGTAAATGTAATCAGCCGTTAGTTTGCATTGTATAACGAAAACCAACCTAATGGCTAAACAAAGTCTGTCTTACTAAAGTACAATTTTAGAGTAAAGTTTTGGGTTGATTCAAGTAAAACGAAATGCAGCCTTAAAAGAAGATATAGACAAAATCGTGTTTAGGCCTATGCTATTACCAACGATCGGGTCCCTTCCAACAAAAAAAGGCTATTTACTTTTGGAGTCAAACAGTCATATTGCTTTACCATCCAAGAAAAAATTAGCAAAATAGACAGCGGCTGTATGGCTATCTTTTTTTGTCATTTTACAGTTTGTAGATTTTCTATATCTTTGCTGGTAGTGACGCTGGTAATAACATTGGTAGCGACGCTGCGCTTGACAACGATTAATTATAGGTCCTCGTTTGTGTGTGTATTTGAGTCAAATGGTAGACCATGAGAATACAAAAACCAGAGTCTAGAGTTTGAATCCGTGTTCAATTTCGTAAAACGTTCCTAAGTCCACTCAGCTTTTATGGGCACCTGACTACTAACGTTAGGGTACGTAAAGGTGGCTTGACCACACTATCAATTTATGTTCACTTTCCCCCATGGACCTTCAAGTTCAAAAGGGAACTTTAGTTATGTGTATGTGTGTGTGTGTACTGTCAAGCGGAGATAAAATTATCAGATAACGCCCCAGTTGTTCCTAAAAACAAACTTGAGCAATTAATCTTATAAAAACCACGCCCCTCACTGATTAGTCTACCCAAGCAATTATAAATGCATGTTTCATTCCTATTTAAACTTTTGATCTGAAACCACTAAAACGGTTTCACTTTTTAAATTTTGTTTGTTTTCACATATCAAGCAACGTATGTACTCTTTTAACTGTAACGTTGAACTGATTACCGTGCAAATATGCTTTAATTTTGTTGTTTAAAATTAACACTATTTATAACATTTTTTTCTATTTAAAATTTAAGATAATTTGTGTTGAAATTAAATAATTTGTATTTATTTTAATTTACATTCGTTTTGTTTTTGTATTATAACTTTATTAGTTACCCTTTTTTAACGTCAGAAATGAATAACTATTATTCCTTTAGAGCAGGGGTCTCCAAACTTTTCAGTCCGAGGGCCGCATTTACTATCACATTTCATTTCGGGGGCCAGTTTCTTCCAGGCATGTCTTTGATTTTTCTGGGCAAAGTTCCTCAGCCATCACCAACAAACGTTTTTTCCGTGGACAAAACGATCTCCGCGGGCCGCATGAGAGGACCTCGCGGGCCGCATTCGGCCCGCGGGCCGTAGTTTGGAGACCCCTGCTTTAGAGTATTGCACAGGACACTATAGTGCTTCACTTTGACTTAGTTCTCTTTGCTCTTTTTGTAACATAGGGTCTCCACCATACACTTCCTTTTTGTCTGATCCCCGGCTATTGATTTTTAAACTCTAAATACATCGCTTTTGGCTTCACTTATTCGAGAAGACGCCGCCTGCATTATGGAGAAAGACAAGCCTGTGACGCTTTCCTTGGGTGTTCCACTCAAGCGCCCGGTGTGTCACGTTTGGGTGAGCTTTTCACAGTGTGTCCCACCCAGTGCCACTCCCTCCTTCTTATTTGTGCTGTTATAGGCTTCTTGCTTGTCTTTCTCCGTTATGCAATGTTCGAGACTTAGTCCTGTCATTTCAATTTCAAAACCTAAGACATTTGTTCATGAAGTTCTGTGCTTGCATTAAGGACTCTCCATGTCTCTGCACCATATAACTAAACTACCTTGACATTTGAATTTAGTATCCTAATGTTGGTTGTGTTGGAGATTGCAGAATGCTTCTATATATGAGTCCATATAGGTCGCAGAAATTTGAAAGCGCAGCTCTATTAACTCCAGCTCTTTGATTTTTGATTTGCTGATCTTGCTGCCAATTTAAACGAACTCTTCCACATCATTTACATGTCTTCTGTCTATTGTCACTAGGACCTCCTGGGCATAATTGATTCTCATCACTTCTGTCTTTTCTTTGTTGATCTTGAGACCTACGCGCTGTGAGATGGCTCCTCATGCATCAATTTTATCTTGCATGTCTTGTAGCCTGTACGAGAGTAAGGCAAGGTCATCTACAAACTCTAGACACTCTAGATTCCCCGTGAGTGTCCACTGTATACCTTTTCCAGAACTGGCATAAGCCGCCACAAAATCGAGAACCACAAAGAAGAGGAGGGGCGACAACAGACATCCTTGTCTAACACCTGCGGTGACCTGAAACTCGTCTGACAGTTTCAAAGCATCTCTAAATTAGCACAATAATATATACTAAAGTAGCTGAATTAGTTCTCAACACATTCAATATTGTTTGCCTATCCACACTATCAAAAGCCCTCTCAAAGTCAACAAAGCAGATGTAAAGTTGGGCTTGCCTATCTATCGTCTGTTCTACAATAATTCTAACAGTGTCTAAGAAGTGCAGCAGTATCTGGTTGCAATTTGATTTCTTTACTTTTATTTCGTCTATTATTTTGAATGGTTTCATAAAAACACAGACACAACTGACATGTAAGTTTAAGCACAATCTAAAGCTTTGTAGTTGTGTTTTTTTTTACATAGAATTGCGCCAATTGTCACCGACCTATTTAAAAACAATGTAGCAACAGAAGTTAACTGTGCAAATAATTATGATGAGAGCGAATACATTTCTGAGATGATTCTTTTTACAAGTTTTTATTTAACTCACTTCCTCTGTCTGTCGTCAGTCTAGATCGAAACGCGGGAGTGAAAATTCGGAAACTTCTACTTGACCGATACGATTCACATTTGGCATGTGGGTCAAGACATGAAGACAATGCAATCTGAAACTAAATTTGACTTAACTAATTGGATGCCTAATTATTTTTTTATGAATTAATTAAAATTTGGACCGAATTAGTAGGCATGTCTATCCAACCACGCCACACGCGTCATCACGTTCAATAGCTGCGCCATCATGTTTAATAGCTGCGCCATCACGTTCAATAGACGCGCAATGGTTTTTAGTCATTTAACACTATTGTAAATAAAACATGTAAAGTACTGAATTTTTTTTTTATAAAAAACGTTTTAATAACAAGCTTTTATGTAATGATGCTCTAAAAAGTAGAAAATAAATTATACACTACTATTTAAATTACTATAAAGAAAAGCGTGGGTCTCTTCTCAAATATTAATAAAGGTATGCAATAGGTACTAAAGTACTAAAGTGACCCACGCTTTTCTTTATAGTAATTTAAATAGTAGTGCATAATTTATTTTCTACTTTTTAGTGCATCATTACATAAAAAGCTTGTTATTAAAACGTTTTTTATGAATTTTTTTTTATTTCTCCGTGCAGGAATATTTTGCGGTTTCTTATGTAAAATGAATGCCTGGGAGGAGTTTTACATCACTTTTATAACGGAAGGAATTATACAGATATGGACATTTTTGTTACCTATTTTAATACCAGCAGCAATATTTGGTTTTAAAAAAGGTGTCCAATAATATTTCTTTTGTAAATGTAGCGCAAAGTCATTTATAAGATTATCACGTTCACTCGATATTTTTTTGTCAGATACTTTATTTAATAAAAACTGAAATCAGCTGTTTAAATTTAAAAAAAAAAAATTATAAATTATTTCCTTTTAATAACATAAGCACCTAGATTTGAACTATATCAATAAATAATAAGTATCTCTATAAATAATAGTATCTCTCTCTATATATTTATATATAGCAATGTATGTATGTCTTTCTTGCATGCATTACTACACCTTTCATCCTATCACCATGAAACTTTGTGAAGTTGTTGAAAATACACATGGGGAGATTTTTGGGGGGAAAAAATTAAAATTCGCAGGGTGGCACCCCAGCAGGCACGATTCGAATCTTCTCTTTATCTATATATAAAAAGCAATTCATTTGTGTGTTTCTTTTATGCATTACTATACCTTTCGTCCGATTATAATTTATCTCTGTCCGTCTCTTTGTCTGTCTGTCTTTGATGCATTACTTTTCATTTCATCCTACCGCCATGAAACTTTAGGAAATTATTGAGAATACTCAGGTGGAGTATCAAATCTAATTCGCAAGGAAAGAGCTCGGCAGGGTGCGATTTGATTTTTCTTTATATACGGTGTATAAAAATGTAAATTGATTGCGGTTTGACACCGTTTATCCGATCTCCATGAAACTTAAGAAGTTGATGAGAACACTCCAGATGAGTTTTCGGCGATAAAAAATTATGGACTTCGTCCGGGAGCGTGCAATTTTCGTCAATACACGGTTTAGCGCCCAGAGTTCTAGAGCGGTTATGTTAGCACTTGGCATCCATTAATCGGACAAGTAAAGGGTGATAGTATATTAAGCGGTAAAAACTGCAGCAGGCGCAACCGTCGGCGCCCAGTTGATTGCTCGACCTGAAGCGCTCCGTGCTTCCCCGCAAACGCTATGGCTATACACTAAATACGCGAAAGGAAACAATAATCGTTGACTATTGAATCAGTCATCTCTGCAGGCTGAGATTACGCGCCCAGGGCTATATCGTGAGTGCTATAGCGCCCACGTTCGTTTTAAACATCGCGGTAGACCATGTTTACAATGGGGCACTTAAGTCGCTCACTAAATTGAATCAAGCACGTTCGCCGGCGCCCCGGCAAGATGCAGTTTGGCGCTATAGCATCTACGAACGTTTAAACACTGCGATAGGCAGTGTAAAACATAAGGTTTTAGAGTCGTTCACTAAACATAATCAAGCGCGTCCGCCAGCACATCGGCATGGAGCGATTTAGTGCACTGTGCTATCCTTTGAGCACTATGGCGTTTTCGTTAGTTTTAAGGAGCACCCTAGTATATTGGCTAAGCGGCACTTGAAATTCGATGATTAAACCGAGCCAGGGGCCCTACGCCACGCCCCTGCGATCATGTAACTAGGGGTTTATAATTAGCCTCAAGATAGATTTGTAAAAATTAATTTTGACTAATTAAAAATGTAGAACTAACTAATGTTTAAAGTCAATACCATATTTAAAATTATCTCATTATCCTAAACTAACAGAATAGATCAACTTACGAGGTGAAGCTTTTTGTCATTTATAAATGCAATTACTATTTTATCTGTATTCGGTTTTAATTATTAGTAATAAAACGCATTTCTCTTTATAAACATGTATACAATTATTCTCTGTGTGATTTGAAAACAATTATATTTTCTTAGTTCTGGCAAAGTTCGACATAGATTTATGGCAATGGAAATTTGAGTATCATCAAGACAACAAGGTAAATTTATATAATTTTGTTTTTAAATAGAAAAACTGTTTATATTGTGTCAGTTAATTCAGTTCATTTTTGTATTGCATTATATTTGTGGGTAAACATGTGTTATAGAAATATTCAAAATTAAAAAAAAAATAGAATAGGATTAAACTTTAAAATGCATAGATTTGATATATGTTAATATCGAACTTTCACCGAGTGTTAACTGCTTTCAATTATCATGTTTTAATAGTTTTTATAATATTTTAGGATATTTTTAATTTGCGCATTACTTACAGCACATTCTGCTCATACTATATTCTCATTGCATTCAGTGCTTAAACTACACATATAAACTAATGTACAATTTTTACAATTAAGCAAATTGTGTGGTTTTTAAATATGTAGCAAGTTGCATCGCCTTGTTAAGGGAAATCGTACATAAATATACAATTGTCAAATAAAATAATTTATCAGATAACCATGAAGATACAAGTCCGTATCAAATGCAGTGTTATGTTTACAGGACACAGTAAAGAACAGCAGTACGGTAACACAGTCTTGTGATATTATAGCAACTACAGCAGCTGTGCCATCAACAGATTCAGGCGTCAAATTACAAATGGGAGAACAGCTCAAACATGAGGACAAAGTGGAGAGCACGTTATCATTGTGTAATTCGGTAAGTTGTTCAGTTTCATCGAAAAGAAGGCCTAAACTATAAGCCTACGTAGAATACGAACATTCAATTTTGTTTAACACAAATCTAAAGTGCGGGGATAATTGATATCAATAAAATTAATGCCTATAATTAATGGTGACTAAATTATGCTCAATAGAAAAAAACGCACGCAGGAAAAAGCGTTTGTAATACATATAGGCCTATCTATAAACATAGTTTCACTATTATGTAACGCTATATATCTATCGGTCTATCGGTTATTCTGGAACAATATAGACAATACACAAGCAAAGTAAAACGTCCAGAGTCAAAAGGAAAACAAAACGTGACGTTATTGATTCTAGAGTAAACATACAATTAAAAAGCCTTGCTTATAAAAAAAATACACAATAATAATGACGTCATCGATACTCAATAATAAAGACACTAACATTACAACTAATTCATTTCTCTAATCTAAATAGGGGTCTGCTTGCAGAGTTTCTTTTATTCGTCTTTTTGGGTATGAGAGCAGAGCGCCCCCCCCCCCATTCAACCCCGCTGAAGACCACCTATCGTACCCACTCATCGCCATTGCAATATTTATTCATATCTCTATGTATCAAAGTTGCTTGTAACAGATCAATTTTATAAAATCCTTCATTTAAAAGGATGAGCACGAATTTAAAAAGTTTCTTAAAAACGTATATTTAGTATGGGGGTCATCCATAAATGACGTCACACGACTGTGTGATGAGGGGAAGGGGGGGGGGGGGGGGTTCAGATGGTGAAACGTCACACTTTTGCATTATAAAAAAAACAATGTTAGAAAACGACTTTTAGCCTCTATTTTACGTATTTGGAAACTTTTTTAGTTAATTATATGGGAATTGATTAAAATACTCTATGTTGACTTAGTTCAGTCACGATTTTAGAAAAAATATCTTATTTTCATAAAAATTCAATTGCGATTTTGAGGGGGGTTGTAGGCTAAGGTGTAATGTCAACTTAGGGGGGGGGGGGGGTTCTGGCTTTTTCTGACGATGTATGACGGAGGGGAGAGGGTAAGTTAAAAATCGTCAAAAAAGCGTAGCGTCATTAATGGATGACACCTATGTTAATTTTTACAATATATTTCCATTATATTATCAAATGTAATTGTGTGTAAAAACACGACTTAAATTCATTTTGATATCAGTCTAAAAACAACATTATGTATAATGGCGAAAAGTACAACAATATGCATTCGTTCTAGGAATAGTTGGATGCATTTTATTAAAATATAGCAAGCTTAAATTTTGTAACATTACATAATTTACAACACTAAGAGCAAGCGCTACCTATAAGGCTAACTAGGAGGTCGCCTAGGGCGCCATACCTAGGAGGGCGCAAAACTGTGTAATCGCCTTTACCAAAAAGTAGGCGAACCTAGTAATTAATGACTTTGCAATTAAACAAATTATGTGGTATTAAATGTATAATAATTTTACATCACCTTCATAAGAAAATTGTACATAAATATATCTTTTGTTAAAATAAAACATTCTATCGGATAATTATGTAGATACAAGTCCGTATCAAATGCAGTGTTATGTTTACAGGACACAGTAAAGAACAGCAGTACGGTAACACAGTCTTGTGATATTATAGCAACTACAGCAGCTGTGCCATCAACAGATTCAGGCGTCAAATTACAAATGGGAGAACAGCTCAAACATGAGGACAAAGTGGAGAGCACGTTATCATTGTGTAATTCGGTAAGTTGTTAATTGCAGAGTATACGTACATGCAATATTCTTTGACACACATCTAAAGTGCAGAGATCATTGATATAATTAATTTATTAATAGAACATTATTAAAATTCTAATTAAAGATAGTTATGTTTTATGTCATTTTATAATACAAATATCTATAACAATAGCTTCACTATTCTGTAACTTTATCTGCCTATCGGTCATTCTCGAAAATATAGACAAAACACAAGCAAAGTAAAACTTTCGCATACAAGCTTTTATTTAGTTCGCAACGTCTGTTACTGGATTGTTGCAAATGTTGTAACTTATTTTTGACCCTTTAAATTAGTTCAAACTTTTCAGATACTTTTATTTTCTATGACAATGCAAGATTATCTAACTTTTTTCTCAAATTAGATAGCCAACTAGTCATTAAAGCTTTATTTAAAACATTTCTAAAGCTAGTGACAAACTTCAAGTGCTTACTCCATCAGCATGTTTTCAACTTTAAGTTATTTTTCACGGCTGGTCGATTTCTTGATTCAGAGTCTACCACGAACAACTTAGCGGCAGATAACTGTCTTCTATAGATCACAAGATATTGGTTAGGTTTTATAAAAAAACATTTGTAGGGTCAACTTCTTTTCTAACGAATGACCAAAAAGTGGAAAATAAAATGAACATAAAACAAACGTTTAAAGGTTCTGAAAATAACTCACATAGTTTCGGAAGATTCTAGTCGATACTACATCTTTAATATAAGCGGCTAGGTAGTGTTTCCGTCATTCCGTCATCGCAATAGGTTTTCAAACCATAAAAGTAAACACGTCACATTTCGTGCTTTTTACTTGCATCGCAGTGTATTAAAGTTGTATTTTAAAAGTAATATATATATAATTATATGACGACTTAAAATTATTTTTAAGTTGCCCCCTTTTTTTTTTGTACTCTTTCGCTTAAGGTAAAGAAAATATTAAACATACGCATATCACTAAAACATATTAAACGGATCAATGTCAAATACCATTTCCGCTTAGATCCCTAGAAAAAAAGAGATACATTTTTATTAATAATAGGGTCGAAAAAACTAATTAATTAAACTGTTTTGTAATTTTTTCAAGGGAGGTAATTTAAAAATAAATGAAACTCACGCTATTAAAATAAACGTGAATGCAAACTCCACAAGAGGGAATTAGTGTAGGAATAATATAATTAGCAAAATGTGAATGCAAAATCGGCAGATGTATAAGAGCGCATTATTGTTGAAATATTATAATTAGCATGGATCGATTAAAGGCTATCTTTTATTTATTTTATTCACTAACGTACTGTTTACTATTTATAACTTTTAACCAACTATACCGCACTATTATACACGGGTCATCGTGTCCATTAGGTTTTAGTCATGAAACTATTGTAATTTTTAAAAATTTAAAGTATTAAAAATAAAATGAATGAATTGATAAAGTGCAATATGGTAGGTAAAACACGGATATTTTAAATACTGCATTTAATTTATTTTATATACTGAACGTATTCTACTGTTTACTAATCATTATTCTGTCTTTCGGTTTTCGGACTAGACTGTGAGCACTATGCGTTTATTTTTGCATTTAAGTTATGTTTACGTTAGGAGTATTGTCTATTGTGTTTGTGTGTTGCGTTGGTGTTTTAGTTTGTGTTTGCATTGTTTTTTTACATTGTGTTTGTGTTTTATTTTGTGTTTGTCTTTTCTTCTATGTTTGTTCAGTGAAAAGGGTTTAACAATATTAATGAATAATTAACTAAGTGCAAAGATTTAACACATTTAAATTTTAATACATGAAGGTTAACATTGAGTAATAACAAACGAGGAAAGTTTTAACTAAGTCAGATTAGCTTGAAATGGGCGACTGGTCTCCAGGGCAGCGTGGTCACACTTGCTCACACACGGACCTCTGTAGCGTCTCTTTAGCCCCAAGCTGACCGGTGGTAAAATACATTTAACAAACTCCCTAACATCTGTGTTATATACACATTCATCCAGACTTCAAACACATACAATTTTAAAATTGTTACAAAGATAATACATTTACATCAGCCTGACTTAGGGCCTACAATAAACATTACTAAAAATTATCGTTTTCAGTCATACATTGTTTTATTCACATTTCATACTTATTGATTAATTTATAACAGTACAGTTAATAAAAGTGAGTTTCCAATTACCTTCAAATAAAGCCACATAATCCTCTACACATTTTGCCAAAACGTAAGTTAAATTTCTCCGTGACATAGCAATAAAATGAGTATAATATAATGATAGAAAGTGCCTTAGCACAAAAACAAAGTGAAACTTCGAAGAAGGTTGAGTGACCGGACTGTGGCGTCCCTACCATACAGGTCACAAGACTCAGGCTCCGTCCTCATGACCGCAGTCTGAGGTCGAGGCCCGGTCAACCTTACAATACCGCTGGACTCAAGTCCAGGTGTTTACTTTACCTGTTCGGTAGCAATAAGAGGTGGGGGGGGGGGAGTGGAGACACTATGATAGATATTTATAATCTATCATAACAATATATATTCACATACATATGCTTATAGACCTACATAGGCACATAACCTTGGACGTGTTCATAATTTTCTATCAAATATAAAGAATTATAAATTATGTATCTAACATTCATCTATTTGTGATTGTTGCTATAATATTCAATGATTTCTGATTTTGAAACATTTCCTATTTTGCAGAGTACCGTTGAAAAATTAGATAAAATTACGCTTGCATTGGTTGGTAAAGTGGGAAATGGAAAAAGTTCATCTGCCAACTCTATTTTAGGACAAAACCTTTTTGAAAGCAGTAATAGTGCAAGTTCATGCACTTATTTAACCACGGCCAAACACGTTATACATGGACATTATGAGATCAAAGTAGTTGATACCCCCGGAGTTATGGATCTAGATGATAAACAAGAAATAGCTAACCTTGCATCACAGCTTCCTGGGATGATGAGCGTCTGCCCGAAAGGTGTTCACGCAATGCTTTTGGTTTTACACTTTGGAACTAGGTATACTAAAGAAGATAGGCAAGCTGTATCTTATATCAAGCAGATTTTTGGAGAAACGATTTTTAGAGATCATGGTATAATCATTATGACACACGGAGAAGATTTTGATATGGACAACAATGACGAAGATACCACACCAATAACATTTGAAACGTGGTGCAAAAATCAAAAAGGACCGATTGAGGAATTGTTTAAAGAATGTGACAACAGAATTGTCCTTTTTTATAACAGAAATAAAAAAAAAAAACCAGATGCTGTAAAACAGCTTTTAAATATTGCTTTTGAAATCGGTAAAAAGGGCGCTTACTGTAACGAGCAATTTTTAAAATGCGCAGAAGAAAGAAACCGCTTAATTTTAAAATATAAGTTACCAGAACTTAATTTAGAGTTTCAACGTAAAGTTGGTTACCTGATGAAAGAAATTAACTATTGTTCTAAGTCGAAAAGTATGACAGAGATGCAGTTGGTTAATCTAAAGACACAATGCACATCTTTGTTTGATGAAATGAATAAAATTTCACAAGATCCAAATATAATGAAAAATTTAAAAGATAATGTAGTAACCATTGAAAGGTTGTTAAAAGAAATCAATTTGAAGGATCCAATCGAAAAGCAGATAAAACCTATTGAAAACATATTGGATAAAATTTTCAATCCGCCTATGTCTGTAGACATCGGGGCTGCAATAGCGGGCTGTGTCTTACTTGCTTCTGGCGCAGCCGTAACTGTTCTAACTGGAGGCGCTGCCCCGGCTGCAGCTATCATAGCTGCAGAAGTATTTTCTTGGACCGGTGCCGTTGGAACGGGTATTAGTTTTGGCAAATTACTAGGTAAATTAATAATTAAACTTCAAAACCGCTAAAAGTTTAATTCTAGTTTGTGTTATCTTGGTAGCATAATTTGCATCAACATATTTAAAAAATATATTGTAAAATTGTTTGGCTGCTGGTAAAATTACGTTTGTGCTTAAAATACAAAATTTAAGATTTTAAAATATAAAATTGTAAGACAAATAGATGCTTGTGTTAATTTAAATCAAATCTAGTATGAATGTTATTATCTGGACAACGAAAAAAACATAATGTGTTTGAGTAAACAAAAACAAATTGCAAAATAAAATTTTATTTTAGAATAAGATACAAGATTAAACTGATTTTTTTCCAATATTATGCATCGCTTGTTTTAATGTAGACACTATTAATTCCATATTCTGACGTATGTTGTATTATCTTCATAGTTTATAATTTATAATGATAAGGCAAATGAAGCTTGTATTTTAATAATTTGATATTTTTACCTAATAATAATTACTGAATATTTAAAACTATGATATCTGTTTGTCATACAAATACGCACGCTTACTTATAAGCCGCATAATTGGGTCCCTCACATGTGGTCAAAGTGGGGGGGGGGGGACTTAATGTTGCTTAACCCGCGTCATACAAAAGTTGTATTTCTTCACTGTCATTGCACAAGTTTTAGACATGTTAAGGGGTTCGGCGTGGTCGAGTCGGTAAAGCTCATGGTTGCTAAACCGAAAAGTCTCGAGTTCGAACCCTCGGGCAGATGAGGCTCGTTAGCTGGGGACAGCCACTCTTCTAGGAGAGACAACTCCAAAATTAAACAACTGCTGCCTTGTAGTTTGTTCTTGGTTGGACAAAGGCTATGGAAGCAAATCCAAAAAGAAAAGCAGGCTGAAATCGGAGTCAATGGCCTCAATGGCGCATAACCAGTTGACACGTATCCTTAATTGTGTTGGAGGCGTGGTCGAGTAGGCAAAATGCTCATGGTAGATAAATTCGAACTGCCGACTTGCAGATAAATCTCGATCCCCTTCAACACTAATAATTAAGAACAAAGAAGAAGAAGAGAAGACATGTTAAATTCTGTTCTAAATTCGAACGCCTATAAGTAGTAATGTTCCCTTTCGAACATGACAATCCTTGAGGCAGGTGAAATATAGTTCACTCATTGTTTCTGTGACTCTAGCATATAAAGTGATAGCGTTGTCGGCAATGTGAACACACCGCGGCGTTTTCTTTCTGCAAGGTGAATCAGGCACCCACTAGAGATAGATGGACTTAGGAACGTTTTAATGTCTTCAACCCGGATTCGAACGCACGACTCTACGATTAGCAGTCGGATGATCGCACTACAATTAGATCAATCCGTCCTATAGCAACACCAATATTACATTTAAAATACTATTATCTATATATATAATTCTCTTCTTGGAGACGTTAGAAAACAAGCTGCAAGCGCGCCTTGCAGTCCCCTCTCTTCCTCTCTATCGCTACTACCCCCCCCCCCACCCTCCCCCTCCCCCCACATGGTCTGGTGAGCTGTGGTTCACGCTAAATGTTTACATTCGTAGAGCCGGGTTTGGTGACAGCTATTAGGGGCAGATAATTTAGTTTGAAACGATTTTAAACTTAGAGGAGGTAACTAAGAGGAGGCTGCTTTCACGGGGGGAAGGGGGGGTTAGTGTTTTAGAGCAAATATTTTCAGTGGCAGCATTGGTACTGTCGAATTCACAAATTATGAATTACTGAAAGTAGAAAAAATAACAACTAAATAGCAGCGAATGATACACCGCGGGTCGGCTCGTATTGAATATTAATGGGTTTTTTTTTTGTTGTTTTTGTTTTTAAAAAACGGTTAAAGTACAAATACGTCTTTTCTTGAACAGTACTGGTGGAACGAAATTGTCGGACAGTAGAGCTTATGACTGCAAATGCAATAATCGCTATTTTGAATCCGCTTTACTCCCTTGAGCACTCATTATGGAAATCATTAGGTATAGTGCTGTGGTAATTAAATAGAAGAACTATATTTCATGAGCCTCATCGGTCTTTGAAAGATGATGATTAGTAACCGTGGCTATTTTCACTAACCCGTCTCGGGTGGTTGTAAACAGAAATTCCAATCGTTGATAGACTTTTTATATTGACGTGTTTAGTTTGACGTGGAGTTTGTTCCACAATTTATTTGACAATAACTGGAGAAATAAGCTTAACCTTGAAGTGAAGATGAAACTTTATGTTCCGGTCTAAAGCACTAAGATATGTATCATACTAACTAGCAGTTATGTTTTTTCGTATTCGCATGTTTATTTTATATTTAATTTGTTTAGTTTTGTAAGTACGTATTAAATATAATCCAATCGATTGACAATTGTTTTCTGGTATATTGTATTGTAATTTTTCTATCTTCGTGGTCTAACTTAACACAAAGAGATGCATACACTTTTTACGAACGAAAATATACATTTGGAAAAGTTTACATAATAATTTTAAAATTGATTGCTTTTATAAAAAAAATTTCTTTTGCAGAAAAAGGTTATTACATGTTATTATTAAAATATGATATAGATTTTGTTTTGATTTGTCTATTGCTTTAGTGTGTTATTATTGCCGTCAATGCATTAATTTATTGTTTTATATATAAAGCATGCATCTCATTGACTAGATTTGTTAATTAAAACCACGTATCTACAGGCCTTGTGAATGGTCCACAATTAAAAAAAAACATGTAGAGATACTATCAGTTTGGTCACACCTTTAGAGTTTATGAGTCTCAGTTTCTCTCTTTAAAAATTCAAAATATCGTTAGCCAGGGATAGATGTAAATTTTCAAATTAAATTAATTGTTGTGATCATGATAGCCATTCCTACCTAATACAATACGGCTATTTATTTGTAGGCTTCGGTTTATGATTTTAAAACACAATAGTAAACAAAAAGCAAAAATTATATTAAAAAAATTAACTAATGATATAATCCAATTAGGTGCCTTCGGGTTTAGACAATTATTATTAACAAATAAAATTCTAAATACGTTTAGGACAAATATTTACGGATTCGAATAAATTAAAAAAAAACAAAACTGTTCGCTTCTTTATAAAAAAAAATCAGACTTTAGCTTTGTTAATATTTTTAAACCTTGTCATCTATCATTATCATTATTTAGGACTTTGAATTAATAATTAATAATAATAGTTTCGCTGTCTCTCTATGTATCTATCTATCTATCTATCTGTCTGACAAGAACGCTCTAGAGAAAAGACAAGCAATTTAAAAACATGCATAGTAATTCGAAAAACGAAGTATGGCGTCGACACATTTAGCACAGAGTAGAAAATAATCTCAAGCCGGATAGTGCACACATTTATATGACGTCATTGATTATCGAGTAAACATTCAATACAAAGGCAATTTGGTCTAATCTAAGTGGTTTGCGTGAAGAGTTTCTTTCATACAATTCTTCGGGTAGGGGCGAAGCCCCACCCCCGCGTAAGAACGTCTGAGCCCCCCCCCCCCCTCCCCAACTCAAAAGAAATTTCCTCATCGATACTCTATAATAAAATTACCGCCTAATTAATGTGTCTAATCTAAAAAGTGGTTTTCTTGCAATGGGACGGTAGACATGTTTTTTTTTGGGGGGGTGTGGGGGGTGTGGGGGGGGGGTTGGTTTCAGTGTTTCTTTCAGACTTTTTCCTCCCCGGAGAGGGGTGGGGGTACTTGAAATTTTCGGGGGCGGGGGTAGAATTTTCTGGGAGGGGGCGGACACTGGAAAAAGTATATAATTATATTTCGTTGAATGGGACGGTAGACATGTTTTTTTTGGGGGGGGGGGGGGGTGGAGGGGTGGGGGGTGGGGGTGGTGTGTGGGGGGGTGGGTTGGTTTTAGTTTAGAGAAAAGAGACAGCACTATCAGCCTAGCGCCCGTTGTACCCTTCCTCAACGGGCCATTTTCCTCGTTACTTAATAATAGCGGAAGTAAATTTTCGATTTTTTAAAAAATTATTAAAGAAACATATTGTCATTTAGTTTTAGAGGTCGGCGTGGTCGAGTCGGTAAAGCTCATGGTTGCTAAACCGAAAAGTCTCGAGTTCGAACCCTCGGGCAGATGAGGCTCGTTAGCTGGGGACAGCCACTCTTCTAGGAGAGAAAACTCCAAAATTAAACAACTGATGCCTTGTAGTTTGTTCTTGGTTGGACAAAGGCTATGGAAGCAAATCCAAAAAGAAAAGCAGGCTGAAATCGGAGTCAATGGCCTCAATGGCGCATAACCAGTTGACACGTACCGCTTAATTGTGTTGGAGGCGTGGTCGAGTCGGCAAAAAGCTCATGGTAGATAAATTCGAACAAAGTCTCGATCCCCTTCAACACTAATAATTAAGAACGAAGAAGAAGAAAGAAGATTTAGTTTGATAAATACTAGCTGGTAAATTCTAGAACGAGAAATGCATAACCTACTTACAAAGTAAATAACTGTTGTGAAGATGATTTCTTGTTTTTTGTTTTAGGCCTCGTTTCGTGATTTCGTGCAAAATTATGTTTTTCCGTATCAGTGGGGTGTAAAACGTCGAGATTTGCACGATTTTCGCACGATTACAATACTTTCTCTATACTTCCTATATATGAGAAAGTAAACATCAACGTTAGTATTTGAACAAAGTCAGTCTTAAAATAAATAAACAGTTATGTTTCGAAAACTGACAAAAAGCTGATAATGGTCTACTTATAACAAATACAGGTCAAGTTTAGTAAATTAATATTTCGACAGAGTACTTTGTCGCTATGTAATATTTTGCGATTTTCTAGGTGGTAATTGTTTGTGTACTGAAATACAAAGTAGCCTACATGCGAATATTCTGTAATTTAAAAATATTTCTTACTGTTGATTTTTATAACTTGTTTTTAATCTAGACGCTACATGAGTGTTCTCTTTTTCTAGAAATTCATAAATTCAGGAAAAGATCTCTTTGGGCCTGAACGAAAAGTAATATCAAGTAGACAAACTTTCCTTTCTTCCGAGGTAGGTTTTCCATTCACCTCCTTTTGTTTTACGTCGAAATCA